CCTATTTTTTATTTGAGAAGGAGTCTTGCTCTGTTGCCCAAGCTGGAGTGCAGTGGCAATAGCAGCTCACTGCAACCTCCACCTCCCGGGTTCAAGCGATTCTCCTGCCTCACCCTCTTGAGCAGCTGGGACGGCAGGCATGTGCCACCATGCCCAGCTAATTTTTTGTATTTTTAGTAGAGACGGGGTTTCACCATGTTGGCCAGGATGGTCTCGATCTCTTAATCTTGTGATCCGCCCACCCCGGGCTCCCAAAGTGCTGGGATTATAGGCATGAGCCACTTCACCTGGCCTTTATTTTTATCTTCTTTGTACAGATGGGGTCGCCCCCATGTTGCCTGGGCATGGATTATTTTGCAATTTCCTGTCCCTGATGCCACTTGAAAAAAGGTCAAAACTTATAACTCAAGGTCAAGATAATGTTGACTAAAGGGACAAATTTCAAACGTGGTCACTGAAAGCCTGTTCACCTTAGAGAATGTCATATTGGCCCGGTGCGGTGCCTCACACCTGTAATCCCAGCAATTTGGGAGGCCAAGGCTGGCAGATCATGAAGTCAGGAGTTCGAGACCAGCCTGGCCAACATCGTGAAACACTGTCACTACTAAAAATACAAAAATTAGCCAGACACAGTGGCTCACACCTGTAATCCTAGCACTTTGGGAGGCTGAGGCAGGCAGATCACCTGAGGTCGGGAGTTCCAGACCAGCCTGACCAACATGGAGAACCCTATCAAAAATACAAAAATTGCCAGGCGCAGTGACTCAAGCCTGTAATCCCAGCACTTTGGGAGGCCGAGGCGGGTGGATCACGAGGTCAAGAGATCGAGACCATCCTGGTCAACATGGTGAAACCCCGTCTCTACTAAAAATACAAAATATTAGCTGGGCATGGTGGCGCGTGCCTGTAATCCCAGCTACTCAGGAGGTTGAGGCAGGAGAATTGCCTGAACCCAGGAGGCAGAGGTTGTGGTGAGCCGAGATCGAGCCATTGCACTCCAGCCTGGGTAACAAGAGCGAAACTCCGTTCCCCCCCATCCCCCCCCAAAAAAATACAAAAATTAGCTGGGCATGGTGGTGCACGCTACTTGGGAGGATGAGGCATGAGAATCACCTGAACCTGGAAGGTGGAGGTTGCAGCCGAGATCACACCACTGCACTTCAGCTCCAGCCTGGACAACAGAGCAGGACTCTGTCTCAAAAATAAAAAATAAAAAAATAGCAAGAATGTCATTTTACCTTGTATTTGTGAGCTGACCTCTCCAAAGAGGTTACCACAGGTCAGGGCTGCACCGAGATGCTGCGTGTGGGACAAGTGGGATTTGGTGCCTTAATTAAATCAGTTGGCTCCAGTGGAAAGGACTTCAGGTGAAAATAATCTTACTTTGGAAGGGACTCTGCAGCTTTGCAGGGAGGTGCTGGTTAGCAGGTTAATTTCACAGGTGTCCTAGAATTATGTGGGTTTGGAGGGGAGGGGAGGTGTCCACACTCCCCAGCTGGGGCTCCCTGCTGTCAGAGGGCAGAGCAGGCTCACCCTGGCAGAGCTGCTCTGGCCACCTCATGTGGTGGCGACGCTTCTCAAGCCCTCACACTTTACCCCTGCGGGAAATTGAGTGTCCCCTCATCGGCCCTCACCCCACACCAAGGTCCCTCCACCCTGCAGGACTGCATGTGAAATGGCATATTTATTCCCTGACCAGACCCCGAAACTTTTTAAGACAGGGTCTCTACTATTAGAAATAGAGTTTTAAAAAAAAGTCTTGCTCTGTTGCCCAGGCTGGGGTGCAGTGGCATGAACAGAGCTCACAGCAGCCTGACCTCCCAGGCTCAATCAGTCCTCCCACCTCAGCCTCCAGAACAGCGAGGATCACAGGTACACACCACCACGTTCTAATATTTTTTTTTGGTAGAGACAGGGTCTTGCTTTGTTGCCCAGGCTGGTCTTGAATTTCTGGGCTCAACCAATCCTCTGGCCTCGGCCTCCCAAAGTGCTGGGATTCCAGGGGTGAGCCACTGGGACGGGCCTCCCTACCCTCTCCTGAGGAGTCACATTCTCCCTCCCATGGGGCGGGGACCACCCCATCCTCTATGTGAGAGGAAGAGTCCTGGCTTCCCTGGGCGGGCCAGGCTGCCTCGGGCCTCTCTTGGTACTAGGACCCTTTTTGATGGTGGCAGCCACCTGGCTGGGGGCAACTGAGCACACTCATGCCCGGCATGTCCTTACCCAGAAGCATCCAGACCCGGGCTGGGTCACAGTTTCCTCTGTTCCCCAAAAAGCAGCCCCAAATTCAGCCTGATGTAGCAAAGAATTGGTCCATAATCACTGACTAGGAGCAGAGCACATTGTTACTCAAGCTGGGGCCATCGTGAATCCGGGCTCAGATCAGTTTGGCCCTGGGTGTGACACTGATTTAAAGTCTTTGAGGGGCTGGGCACGGTGGCTCAAGCCTGTAATCCCAGCACTTTGAGAGGCCAAGGCGGGTGGATCACGAGGTGAAGAGATCGAGACCATCCTGGTCAACATGGTGAAACCCGTCTCTACTAAAAATACAAAAATCAGCTGGGCATGGTGGCGCGTGCCTGTAATCCCAGCTACTCAGGAGGCTGAGGCAGGAGAATTGTTTGAACCCTGGAGGTGGAGGTTGCAGTGAGACGAGACTGTGCCACTGCACTCCAGTCTGGCGCCTGGTGACAGAGTGAGACTCTGTCTCAAAAAAAAAAAAAAAAAAAAAAAGCTGGGCGCGGTGGCTCACACCTATAATCCCAGCACTTTGGGAGGCCGAGGCGGGTGGATCACGAGGTCAAGAGATCGAGACCATCCTGGTCAACAAGGTGAAACCCCATCTCTACTAAAAATACAAAAATTAGCTGGGCATGGTGGCGCGTGCCTGTAATCCCAGCTACTCGGGAGCCTGAGGCAGGAAAATTGCTTGAACCCAGAAGGCGGAGGTTGCGGTGAGCCGAGATCGCGCCATTGCACTCCAGCCTGGGTAACAAGAGCGAAACTCCGTCTCAAAAAAAAAAAAAGAGTCTTTGATGATGAGGCTCCAGGGTCGTCAGAGGGGACAGGACTGCCGCTCTGCACTTACCTCCTGGATGGGATGTCCATTTTGTTCCCGGAATGACCGATCACCCAGGAGTTAAGAGTGGCGGAGATCTCACGGTCCAGACCCTGTGATATTGCTGCCTCCATGACGACCCATGCAGAAGGGTTGCTACCGAGTCAGCTCCGCTGGAGAGATCCCCATCCAGGCGGCGCCGAAAGCATTAAGAAGCAGACACCCAGATAGCACAGCAGAGTGGGACTATCCGGGCCTAACAACCTTCGGAGCTGAGAGAGCCTCAGGGGCCGACAGCATTTCGGGCTGAGGGTCTCAAGCCGTCGCTGACCCACGCATTTATTCTCTCTGAACAGGTGCTTCATATTAACAAACAGGTGTTCTGTGAAGATAAACTAGGTGGGCAGCTGGTGCCTGCTTACCACTGATCAAGGACAAACCGGAAAGTATTCTCCACGAGGGAGCCACGGGGGCAGGGTCACGTATCCCGTGCTTAAAGAATTGTTGGCCGGGCGCGGTGGCTCAAGCCTGTAATCCCAGCACTTTGGGAGGCCGAGGCGGGCGGATCACGAGGTCAAGAAATCGAGACAATCCTGGTCAACATGGTGAAACCCCGTCTCTACTAAAAACACAAAAATTAGCTGGGCGTGGTGGTGCGCACCTATAGTCCCAGATACTTGGGAGGCTGAGCTGAGGCAGGAGAATCGCTTGAACCCGGGAGGCGGAGGTTGCAGTGAGCCGAGATTGTGCCACTGCACTCCAGCCTGGAGCCTGGGGGACAGAGTGAGACTCTGTCTCAAAAAAAATTATTTTTTTTCCCAACACTTTGGGATTACAGGTGTGAGTCACCATACCTAGTCTTATTTTATTTTATATTTTATTATTTGAGATAGAGTCTGGCTCTGTTGCCCAGGCTGGAGCGCAGTGGTACAATCTCCGCTCACTGCAGCCTTGACCTTCTAGGCTCAAGCGATCCTCCCAAATCAGCCTCCCAAGTAGCTGGGACTATGGGTACATGCCATCTTGTCTGGCTAATTTTCATATTTTTTGTAGAGATGGGGATCTCACCATATTGCCCAGGCTGGTCTCGAACACCTGGGCTCAAGCAGGTGAGCCCCTGCCTCGGCCTCCCAAAGTGCTGGGATTACGGGTGTGATTATCGCACCCGCCCCCATTTTATTGTATGGATAAGAAAAGCACTGAAAGTGGAGGACGCACTGGGGTCTGTGGGGAAGGGAGGCCAGGGCTGCCGTGCAAGCATTGGGTTTCCACTCGTGCACGCTGGCAACTCCCAAATGGCCAAGGCTGGGCAGGGCTGGGGAGCAGGACAGACGTCCTAGGCTCAGCTCTGCTTCCAGGGAGGTTCAGGAGGAACAGATAGGCCCAGTCTTGAGTTTACAGATGTGTGTGTGTGTTTTACGTTTGTATCCCAAATACTCTTAACAGTGTCTGGCACATGGCGGGCACACAAATACTTGCTAAGAAATAACAAATAAATTAACCGAAGCACTTTCACTTACAGTTTCTAATTTCTTTTTGTTTTTTTTGAGACTGAGTCTTGTTTTGTCAAGAGAGTCTCTCAACAGTGGAAAGGAGTAATGGTTTTCTCCTGTAACGTTGGTGGCTTAGAGCAAGAAAAACACAGCATGGGCCAGGGCAGTGGCTCATGCCTGGAATCCTGGCACTTTGGGAGGGCGAGGTGGGCAGATCCCAAGGTCAGCTTGACCTCGAACTTCTAATTTCAGGTGATCTGCCCCCCCTCAGCCTCCCAAAGTGTTGGGATTACAGGCATGAGCCACAGTGCCAGGCCTGTAACATAAAATGCACCACTGTAAACCATTTTAAGTGTACAATCCACTAGCATCAACTACCTTCACAACGTTATACAACTATCAGTACTATTTCCAAAACCTTTTCATTCCCCCAAACAACAACTCTGTACCTGTTAAGCCATCAATTGGCTAAGATGGTCTCCATGTCCCCTGCACCAGGCTCAATCCTTCCACTAGTTAATCCTTCCATTATGATGTGTCAGAAAATCTTGCTGATAGAACAGAAGCCCTACATACACGCTCCTTGCATACTCTCCCTTTCTCTGTAATGAAAGGATTGTTCATTTCAGGTCGGTCTTCCTGCTGCCTGTCAGCCCAGGAGGGAAGGCGTGAGTGTTCACTGCTAACTTGGTGCACGTGGCAAACACCTGAGACATATTTGCGGACTGAGTGAAGAAGTGGTATGTACAACTGATGCTTTCCCCCTTCCTGTGGGGATGGCAATTTGTTTAATAATTCTGTATAATTTAGGAAGCTTTTGTTCCCTTTGCTAAGCCTTCAAGATCTGCTCACGCCTTTGAAAGTGTGATTACAGATTCTTCTTCCATAGGAGGAACGTCACATCACCTCCCTGGGAAGAACATTCCAGGAAGCCAGGCTTTTAGTGAGTCACGGTGTATTAATAGCACCATCAACATCTGAACAAAGATTCCATTATGTTAGTGCAGAGCCAATGAGCGGAACATGCTATCTGCCAAGTGTATCTTTCTGCTTGGAACATCTATCATCTTCTTATAAAGCATTTTAAGGCCTCAACACTTGATCAGTGAAAGTTCTAGAATTTGAAATGTGGTCCAAAAAGAAGCACCCTTGTTTTTTTTAATGCTAGGTTAAAATTTAAAAACAAAAAACAAAAAACTGGCCAGGCACAGTGGTTCACATCTGTAATCTCAGCACTTTGGGAGGCCAAGGTGGGTGGATCATTTGAGGTCAGGAGTTTGAGACCAGCCTGGGCAATGTGGTAAAACCCCATATCTACTAAAAAATAAAAATAGGCTGGGCGCGGCTCACGCCTGTAATCCCAGCACTTTGGGAGGCTGAGGCGGGTGGATCACAAGGTCAAGAGATCAAGACCATCTTGTCCAACATTGTGAAATCCTGTCTCTACTGAAAATACAAAAATTAACTGGGCCCGGTGGTGGGTGCCTATAGTCCCAGCTACTCGGGAGGCTGAGGCAGAATTGCCTGAACCCAGGAGGCGGAGATTACAGTGAGCTGAGAAGGCATCGTTGCATTCCAGCCTGGGCAAAAAGAGCAAAACGCCATCTCAAAAATAATGAATAAGTAAAATAAACAAGTGTTACAGATTAAAATAATTTAAGGAACATGCCAGCCAGTTGCAGCCTAAAGGCCTATTGGCACTGCGGGGTGGGGTGGAGGGAGACGGGGTGCGGGGTGGGGTGGAGGGAGACGGGGTGCGGGGTGGGGTGGTGGGAGACGGGGTGCGGGGTGGGGTGGAGGGAGACGGGGTGCGGGGTGGGGTGGTGGGAGACGGGGTGCGGGGTGGGGTGGAGGGAGACGGGGTGCGGGGTGGGGTGGAGGGAGACGGGGTGCGGGGTGGGGTGGAGGGAGACGGGGTGCGGGGTGGGGTGGTGGGAGACGGGGTGCGGGGTGGCCCAGCTGGGGAAACATGTCTCTACTGCTTGGCAGCAGCTGCAAAGCTCCAGCATTCATTTCTGGAGCTCCAGTTTCCGGGTGGATCTTTGATTTCCAATAACATTCTACTTTTTCTCATACCGTTCTACTCTATTTCCCATAGGATTCTATACTCGTTTGGGCTCTACATATTTCTTATTTTACATTTTCCATTCTGTGAATATCAGAAGTACACAAAAGCAGGCAGAATAGTGTGAAACCTCAGTCACCATCACTGTCCCCAACAACCAGCCAACAGGCCACGGACATTCCCACCCATCCACACTCAGTGCAACCTTCCTCCTTTCTCCAAGGCATTCTGAGGCAATTCTGAGATTTCATTGTGTCATTTCACCCACAAGTATTTCATCTTTTCCTTAATACATCTCTGCACTCATATTCAAGGCACTTGGTACTATAAATGCACTATTAAGTGAGTGCACAAGTCAAGATATTCATTTTCATCACTATTTATTTAAAGACACAGAGTCTCACTGTCACTCAGGCTGGAGTGCATCGGCGCAATCTCGGCTCACTGCAACCTCCGCCTCCCGGGTTCAAGTGTTTCTCCTGCCTCAGCCTCCTGAGTAGGTGGGAGTACAGGTGTGCACCACCATGCCCAGCTAATTTTTGTATTTTTAGTAGAGACGGGGTTTCACCATGTTGGCCAGGCTGGTCTCAAACTCTTGGCCTCCCAAAGTGCTGGGATTACAGGCGTGAGCCACCGCGCCCAGCCTAGGGTTCAGAGCTTCTAGGCTCAGAGGATGACAGTTCAGTAAGCATCACAGAAACCAACTGACACCGCTGTGTGTGGTGCTCATGCCTGCAATCCCAGCACTTTGGGAGGCCGAGGCAGGTGGCTCATTTGAGCTCAGGAGTTTGAGACCAACCTGGGCAACATGGCAAAACCCTGTCTCTACTAAAATACAAAAAATTAGCCAGGCATGGTGGCGCGTGCATGTAGTCCCAACTTCTTAGGAGGCTGAGACAGGAGAATCGCTTGAACCTGGGAGGTGGAGGATGCAGTGAGCTGACATCGCACCACTGCACTCCAACCTGGCGACAGAGGGAGACTCCGTCTGATATATATATATATATATATATATATACACACACACACATATACAGCTGTTCCGGCACTTACCTGATCGTTTTCCAACACTTCCATTGTCCTCAAAAGTTCCTTCTTGCCTCTCTGTAGTCACTTTCTACTCTGACTCCCAGGCCCAGGCAACTACTGCTTTTCTTTCTTTTTATATTTTATTTATTTTTATTTTTTGAGGCGGAGTTTCGCTCGTTACCCAGGCTGGAGTGCAATGGCGCGATCTCGGCTCACCACAACCTCCGCCTCCTGGGTTCAGGCAATTCTCCTGCCTCAGCCTCCCGAGTAGCTGGGATTACAGGCACGCGCCACCATGCCCAGCTAATTTTTTGTATTTTTAGTAGAGACGGGGTTTCACCATGTTGACCAGGATGGTCTCTATCTCTTGACCTTGTGATCCACTCGCCTCGGCCTCCCAAAGTGCTGGGATTACAGGCTTGAGCCACCGTGCCCAGCCTTCTATTTTTATAGACAGGATCTTGCTCTGTGTCCCAGTTTGGGATGCAGTGGAATGATCATGGCTCACTGCAGCCTTCAACTCCTAGGCTTACGCAATCCTCCCACCCCAGCCTCCCAAGTAGCTGGACTACAGGCATGTGCCACCATGCACAGAAATTTAAATATTTTTTGAGATGGAATTTCACTCTTGTCTAGGCTGGAGTGCAGTGGTGCGATCTCAGCTTACTGCAACCTCCGCCACCCAGGTTCAAGCGATTCTCCTGCCTCAGCCTCCCGAGTAGCTGAGATTACAGGTGCCTGCCAACATGCCCAGCTAATTTTTGTATTTTTAGTAGGAATGGGGTTTTGCTATGTTGGCCAGGCTGGTCTTGAACTCCTGATCTCAGGTGATCCACCTGCCTTGGCCTCCCAAAGTACTGGGATTACAGGTGTGAGCTACTGCACCTGACCTAATTTTAATTTTTTCAGGGGGACAGGGTCTTGCTTTGTTGCTCAGGCAGTCTCGAACTCCTGGGCTCAAGCAGCCTTGCCTTGGCCTCCCCAGGTGTTGGGATTACAGGCGTGAGCCACCGTGCCTGGCTCAAATGATTTTTGTATACTGATCTCTCCTATGCGAAAACCACTTCTAGTATCATTTTGATAGATTCCTTGTGTGTGCTACCTGGACAACCATGTCATCTGTGAAGTCTTCCTCTTGTCCAGTTTGCATGTCTTTTCAGCACTCACTACCCTCCTCGGCAGGATGGAACTTGACTATGGAAGGTTTGAAGCAACAATGAATTTTGAAGTGATAGGGTAAGAATCGTGGTCCTTTAAGCAGTGCAAGGACATTTGCAGCCATGACATACATGTGTCATCTGGCCCAACTTCTCACTCACTTGGCTGGGCATCCATCTTCTTGGTGGTCCAGGTGCCAGCACAGGGACTGCTGGGAGATAGGTCAGGCGCACAGCTAAGTACCCATCCATTCGCCATCAACACTTTCCCAGTAACTCCAGGAGGATAGTTCATTTGGGAGATGATTTATACAGAAGTCCTACATTGCCTGATTCCCTCAACTGCCTTATATTTGGAAGAAATCTAAAGATTTAATATTTTTTATTTTTTTGAGACGGAGTTTCACTCGTTACCCAGGCTGGAGTGCAATGGCGCGATCTCAGCTCACCGCAACCTCCGCCTCCTGGGTTCAGGCAATTCTCCTGCCTCAGCCTCCTGAGTAGCTGGGATTACAGGCACGTGCCACCATGCCCAGCTAATTTTTTACATTTTTAGAAGAGATGGGGTTTCACCATGTTGACCAGGTTGGTCTTGATCTCTTGACCTCGTGATCCACCCGCCTCGGCCTCCCAAAGTGCTGGGATTACAGGCGTGAGCCACCACGCCCAGCCTAGGTTTACTATTTTTTTAACTAGACCTGGGAAAAAGCTGACATTTTACCCTTTTTGCCATTCGCTTCCTAGTTCAACACTAAACCTTTGTCTTAGCTGCTAACATCTTCTAGTAAGCAACAAAACTTAAAATTCAGCCACCAAGACCCTAAGTAATTCTTTCTATTGACTAAGGGAACTAAGAACTTCTCAGAGGATTTTACGGATTAAATGTGATTGCCATTTGCCAAGCACTCAATACCTGCTTAGCATGAAGGACTGAGACCAAGTCTTCTCCCTGCCTGTGCTCTGCCCCTTAAGTCACCAGCACATACCCAAGTCCCACCCATATCCTTTTTATATATGGCTTTAGGCTCAGAATGCAAATCCTACATGCTATCTAACCAAGTTTTCTTTCTAGAATCACAAGACTTTTAGTTAGCCATTACCACCCCTAGAACTTTTTGAGACGGAATTTTGCTTTCTGCCCATGCTGGAGTGCAATGGTGCCATCTCAGCTCACTGCAACCTCCGTCTCCTGGGACTACAGGTATGTGCTAACACGCCCAGCTAATTTTGTATTTTTAATAGACAGCAGTTCTCCATGTTTGTCAGGCTGACCTCACATGATCCACCCACCTCAGTGTCCCAAAGTGCTAGATTATAGGGGTGAGCCACTGTGCCCAGTATTTTTTAAACCTTTGGAGACATGCCAGCTAATCTTTCCCCTACCGACTTGTTACCTACTGCTCACAACGAGCTCAAAGGACCAGAAAATGAGCGACTTTAGACACTGAGTTTAAAGAAATCTGGTAATGAACTGAGACAAAAGGCCAAGGAACTGACTACATTTAAGACACAAGGTGTCCCATGAATATCATCACAACAGTGCAGACGTGCACATGGGATGCACATTGTCTGCATTATTTTCTGTCTACATGTACTCCACCCCACACGCACCAGAAGTACACATTGGGAAGATCATGTCAACCCTTACAGTGGCCAATGTTAGTCACCTCCTGCTAGTACCTCATGTTTTACATTGTGGCACCAATGCTGTCACATCAAGAATACTCCCCTTCTCTGCCCAAGACAGACACTGTCACGCAACTTCTTTTAACTCATCTGTATTTGTTACAACTTTAAGCAGAATGTAACTCGAGCACTACATTTCCATCCACAAGACTGGCTCTGAGTTACTTTGAACAGCTTATGGTATGCTTAGGTAGGCTAATAACTGCTCCTCCAAACAATACTTTCTTTGGAAAACAAGCCCTGTGGAGAGTTCCATCAAGTTGCTTCAGTTTAACCTATTTCTAGAGGACTAGTACATGCAGAATTGGCAACTACAGGGAGGAAGAGTTCAGAAAGTAGATCCTACAAGGTATAACAAACACTTCTCTTCTAAACATCAAAGTATAGCTTGGGAACACTTCGATAACAAGATTTGGTCTACTAAGGAATCTGGCTTGCTAAACACTTTAGACCACAAAGTTAACATGTTACATACATCTTACAACACAAAGTACCTCGATCTGTTAATGTAAGCCAACGTGAAACTAAACAAGCATTACTAGCTCTGCGTTACTGCCTACAGTATCACAGCATCGCTCAGAAGTCGGCAGAGATCTACCTTCCCCTTATAGTTGTGATCATGCCATAGACTTTTTAATGTTAACAAAAATAAAGAAAAACATCCTTGAAAATATATTATTAGAGGAACTGTAGAGTACTGAACAGGTAAGTCATCCCTCAGATGGAGCTTAGTCTACTTCTTCCATGCGTGACGTGTCGTCATCTCCTTCGAGGGGTGGCATTTCTTCAGTTACAGCTGCACTGGTATCATCAGCAGTAGGGTCATCTTCATCAATACCTGTTTTCAAAAGAAAATCCTCTATTAGGAAGATTTCTTAAAGCCAGCTAATTAGTATTAATACTCCTGGTTTACATCTGCTTTCAAGACAGTATTACTGGGCATAGGAATCTTCGTTTCTTAGCTCTTGTAACACCTTATCCCTGTAGAAAAAGATACCTGAATGCCTCTGAGCAGGACAAGGTGCTCCAAGTTTGGATAACATTAACCACTTTTTCACAAGTCATGTATGATTGCTTTTCAACTTGACACAGTTTAAGGCTTACCTAGACCAAGTTTGATCATCCTGTAGATCCTGTTAGCATGTGTCTGGGGATCCTCCAGACTGAAGCCTGAAGACAGGAGAGCGGTTTCATAAAGCAAGATGACCAGATCCTTCACAGACTTGTCGTTCTTATCAGCCTCCGCCTTTTGCCTTAAGGTCTCGATGATGGAATGGTCAGGGTTTATCTCCAGGTGTTTCTTTGCTGCCATGTAACCCATTGTTGAGTTGTCTCTCAGGGCTTGAGCTTTCATGATTCTCTCCATGTTTGCTGTCCAGCCGTATGTGCTTGTGACAATACAGCATGGAGACGTCACCAATCGGTTTGACACAACCACCTGTAATGAAGAAGTAAGAACTTAGGAGCCTAGAAAGATTAAAACCTAAACTTTCATTGTGAAATGAAATCTGAAGAACCAAAATATCAATATGTCGGAAATACCATCTACTATCAAATACAACTTAAGGTTTTATTAGGTATCCAAACAGCACAGGCTAAAATTGTGTTTTACATACACAACCATAGTTTTCAGTGAAGCTGAGAACAAGGGAAAATGGGTTATGTAAGCTTGAAAGCCCCTTAGAGGTATCAATCATCAGGAAATGCTGTATTCACATACCTTTTCAACCTTTTTCTCCAGTATGTCTTTCATGATTTTGCAGAGGTTCTCAAACTTTGTTTTCTTCTCTTCCTGTTTCTTTTTCTCTTCTTCATCCTCTGGAAGTTCCAAGCCCTCTTTGGTGACTGACACTAAAGTCTTCCCCTCAAATTCCTTCAGCTGTTGGACACAGTACTCATCAATGGGCTCAATCATATAGATCACTTCTAAGCCATGCTTTCGAAGACGTTCCACAAAGGCTGAGTTAGCTACTTGGTCCTTGGTCTCACCTGAGGTATTATAAAAGTTACTTTTATACCTTTTGACAGTAAGGAATGGCTTCACCTACTTCTGACTTTTCTTACTAGTCAGATACCTAGGCAGAACCGAAAACAGATGACTGAGCTCATGTTAAGTATCCTGCTTAGATCAACACCAGTTACACTAACAGTGCTACCTGAGTAGAAAACACATCCAGAGCCTACAAGGTTCCAAGAACAAAGTGTTTGAGTGTAATGTACTGTCCCCCTACCTGTGATATAATAGATATGTTTCTGGTTTTCCTTCATTCTGGTGCAGTAGTCTTTGAGAGATACCATCTCATCACCAGAGGCAGATGTGTAGTATCTCAACAGCTCTGAAAGCTTCTTCCGATTTTGAGAGTCTTCGTGTATTCCAAGCTGAAACAAAGTAAGTTCTTTACAAAGATGTCTTGAATTTAAAAAAAATCTAAAAAGAGGCCAGTTGGAAAACTACTAATGGTCAAATATTTACACTAACCTTTATGTTTTTAGAGAACTGCTCATAGAACTTCTTGTAGTTCTCTTTATCTTCTGCCAGTTCAGTGAAGAGTTCTAAGCATTTTTTGACCAGATTCTTCCTGATAACTTTCAAAATCTTGCTTTGTTGCAACATCTCACGGGAAATATTTAGAGGGAGATCCTCTGAGTCTACCACCCCTCTAATGAAGTCTGAAAAAAATATAAAAACCAAATGCACTGAGTCATTCCAAAGACAAAACTGGTGCTAGATAACCCCCAAAAAATCAAACGTAAAAACCTCAAAATATATACATATGTATTAAGATGGGTCTGTTTTACAGGGTGGAGTGCAGTGGCCCGATCTCTGCCCACTGCAACCTATCTCCCACTCCCCTCTCCCTATTCAAGCTATTCTCAAGACTCAGCTGGACTCCAGGCACCCACCACCACACCAGGCTAATTTAGTAGAGATTGGGTTTTCATTTTGGCCAGCTGGTCGTGAATTCCTGACGTTAGGTGATCCACCCACCTCCGCCTCCCCTAAGTGCTAAGATTATAGGAGTGAGCCACTGTGCCTGCCAGGAATTATTTCTTTAATCCCTGACTGATCATTTTTCCTAACTGTACTTACTCAGATATTCAGGGATTAGTTCCTCACAGTTATCCATGATGAAAACTCTGCGTACATACAACTTGATGTTATTCTTTTTCTTTCTGTTTTCAAACAGGTCAAAAGGAGCACGTCGTGGGACAAATAGAAGGGCTCTGAATTCCAACTGTCCTTCAACTGAAAAATGCTGTAATAAAACATACACACTTAAGTACCAATGAACAATGCATTACAGAAGGTATCTGTGGTGGAAGAGGAAAGACAGTAACTAAGGACAAGCTCGAAGCACCACTCAGTCACTCACCTTCACTGCCAAGTGATCTTCCCAGTCATTGGTCAAGCTCTTGTAGAATTCTCCATACTCCTCATTAGTAATATCGTCAGGATTTCTGGTCCAGATGGGCTTTGTTTTGTTGAGTTCTTCTTGATCGATGTACTTTTCCTTAATCTTTTTCTTCTTCTTCTTGTCACCATCCTTTTTTTCTTCTTCTTCTTCATCAGAACCAACATCTTCAATTTCAGGTTTATCTTCAGACTCTTTCTCTTCTTTCTCTTTTTCTTCTTCTTTATCTTCCTTTTCTTCAGCCTCATCATCACTGACTTCTTTATCACGTTCCTTCTCCACCTTCAAAACAAGACGTGAAATCACATCACTGCTGCAACTGGTAACACTGAGCAACTATTTTCAACTAAGGCCAAAGCCTAGTCAGCCAAGCCAGAAGCAGCCAGGCAGCTTCTCATCAACGTATCTTATAGACTAAGGTAGTAGATAGAGCTTAGGTTCCCCAGGCTCCACACTAATAAATAACAACCCAAGTTCAACAGATCTAAGGAATAAGGATGTAGCTCAGTCACCCCAGTCATCTACAGAGAGTAACTCACTCTGCAATTTTTTTTTTTTTTTTTTTTTAAAGACAGAGTTTCGCTTGTTACCCAGGCTGGAGTGCAATGGCGCGGATCTCGGCTCACCACAACCTCCACCTTCTTGGTTCAGGCAATTCTCCTGCCTCAGCCTCCCGAGTAGCTGGGCTTACAGGCACGCGCCACCATGCCCAGCTAATTTTTTGTATTTTTAGTAGAGACGGGGTTTCACCAAGTTGACCAGGATGGTCTCGATCTCTTGACCTCGTAATCCACCCACCTCAGCCTCCCAAAGTGCTAAGATTATAGGCGTGAGCCACTGTGCATGGCATTCACTCTGCAATTACATAGAAACTTACAAAAAGAGTAATGGGATAGCCAATAAACTGAGAATGTTTCTTCACAATCTCCTTTATTCTTCGTTCCTCCAAGTACTCAGTTTGGTCTTCCTTCAGGTGTAGGATAACCTTGGTTCCACGACCCATAGGTTCACCTGCAGAAGTAGGGAAAATTGACTCAATAATCCAATCAACTTAGCGTTCAAGCCATGCCTCACTCAGATCTATCAAGACTTGCCATTACTACAGATGAAAAGGTTCCCACAACAGGTCTAGGTGCCTTGCCACAAAGTAGTAAGCAAGTCATGCCATATTAAGTGCTCTAGCTTGTTCCTCAACGTTGGGCAAACACAACTTGCTGGAAGCCTCAGAGGTCCAAGGGCTGCAGCATCCCACCCTCCCGCCACTGACTAACCCGTGCATGCTCGGGCGCCTACCTGTGTCTGTCCTCACTGTGAATGACCCCCCTGCTGAGGACTCCCAGGCGTACTGCTCATCGTCGTTATGTTTGGTGATCACCGTTACTTTCTCAGCAACCAAATACGCAGAATAAAAACCAACACCAAACTGGCCAATCATAGAGATATCTGCACCAGCCTGCAAAGCTTCCATGAACGCTTTGGTCCCAGACTTGGCGATAGTACCAAGGTTATTGATCAAGTCAGCCTTGGTCATTCCAATTCCAGTATCCACAATAGTGAGGGTTCGATCTTGTTTGTTTGGTATGAGGTTAATATGCAGCTCTTTCCCAGAGTCCAATTTACTGGGATCCGTCAAGCTCTCATACCGGATTTTGTCCAATGCCTATCAACAAAAATTACAAATTAAGCATGCAGCCCCCACCCAACCCCACTGAAACCAAAACCCTACTCCGAGTTAACAAGCGACTTACATCCGAGGAATTTGAAATGAGCTCTCTCAGAAAGATCTCTTTGTTGGAATAGAAAGT